AAAAAAGCAAAAACACACAATATCAACCCGCGCAAAAGAGAACACGTCAACAGCAAAAGGTGAGGTCCATCCAGGATTCGAACCTGGGCCTACGGAAGGTTCTGAGAATCAGAATCCGACGTCCTAACCAACTAGACTAATAGACCTGAAACGGCTTATTGGCTGTTAACAGGAGGGCAGCTCCTGGTGCTCATGATCCCCAGTCCCGGGTGGAGTCCTGACGCTGATGACACCCCTCTCGTCGCCTCTGTCACCTAGCCCTCAATCCGTTGACGGGCATCTTCCGGCCTCATGTGGCGGAGAGCCTTGATCTTCACGAAGACCTCGCCGAAGTCCTAGTAGGAGAGACCTCAGTGTTTGCGTATCGTGCAGAATGGACCTTTGGCGTTCATGACTTGGTCCAGCCTGTCGTCGTTGCTGTCCCAATCTTTGACCAGGATTTGCTGTTTCCGCCGAGCAAAGCCAGCGTCACGATTACGATACACGGAGTCGATTTTGCGCACGTCAGTCTTGTCGCTGGTCATCCACCGTAATTGCTCATCGAGGAACCTCGTATAAGTCATGTCGGCACCGAATTTGGCTTTGACATTGGCTTCGAGGTGGGCATCAACCGCCTTCTCAAGGGCCTTGTCGTCCTTCGTTGGCGCCCATACCGAGTGGAGCTCTGGCATTGTCGAATCTGCCGACGGGTTGAACGTAGGCTCTTTGCGATGCGGCTCGGGAAGAATTGAGTCGGCGCTGTAGTACAGCAAGGAGCCGTTCAAGACAGCGGCGTCGATCTTTCGCAACTCTGGCGGTGTGATCGGGCAGTGGCCGAGGTTCAGGTACTCGAGAGTCTGATTTGTCGACAACAGCTCGCAGAGAACTGGCGCAGAGGCATTTTGGATGTAATTCCATGCCTGGCCGAGGTCGAGGGTCGCATATGCCTGACCTACATCCAGCATGCGCATACCGGGATGCGACGTGATAGCCCGGAAGATGTCAATGGCGCCTTCAGTAGTCAGACCGGCAGATTGGAGTGACAGCCGCTGGAGTTGGGTGGCCTGGCGGATTCCGCAAGCGAGCGCCTTCGCGCCTTCATCGCCAAGTGGGTTGCATGACAGGTAGAGCGAGGCGATTCCGCAGGCAGGGGAGGATAAGAAAGCGGCGATGGCAGAGGCGGCCTTGGTCGATATGCCGTTTCCGTTGAGGTATATATTTCGCAGGGGTAGTTTCTTACGGCCGGAAACCACCGCAGAGGAGAAAGTTGTCAGTCGTTGGAACAGCTCTGCGATGCCCGCATCACCCAGCTCAGTTTGGTCGAGGTCTAGAGTGCGGAGGTTTTTGGTCTCAGTGATGAGCCGGAATACATCTGCAGCGGCCGCGGGACCTAGCGGGTTTCGTTTCAGCCAGACGTTCGTCACTGCGTCTGAGTCTACCAAGGCATCGACGAGGACCCTGAAGCTGGTGGTGTCGATGCAATTGCCTGCCAAGTACCAAGTATCCATGCGTTCGGGGAACTCGCGGATGAAGCGCGCGATATCCTGAGCCCCAACCGGGCCAATGATGTTGTTACCCAACAGGAAGTGTCGTACGAAGGGGTTCGGCCGTAAGCTGTCCATCAGGCTGCCAATGTGGTCTGGACCAACGACCATTTTGCACAGATCCATGCGACCGTCTTGGTAGACGACACCTTTACGAAACTCTGCTCCTTTAACGCCATAGAAGGGTTCACCTTTGCCTCCATGAAGATGTGCGCCTAGGCTGGCGGAAGCCTCGTCAAGCTCGTGGGTGCCGCCACGCTCAAGGTGGTTGAAGAACGGCACCAGGTCGGCGGCGTCAGCAACGGAAACGGGCATCGGGATGGCTTTAGTGCCAACGAGGGACACGGGGAATTTGGACGGGTCCCACGGGCCCTGAGCAAGGATGCGGGATGCCCAGACAGGCGCATGCACGCCCGGGGCAGCCCCGCCGGTCAAGCCGCGGAAGCTGTGACCGTTCCGTTTGGTGGCGGCAAAGATGTCGTGTTTCCGCTGCAGGGCAACCCATGCACGTAACTTGACCCTCGCCGCGTCGTACCGAATGACGGGTGACACAGCATTATCGTGGGTGGCGGGATACAACAGCGTCGCAACGGCCTCGGCGAGACGAGATCGCGCAGATTTCCGACGCGGGAGACTGAACAGCTCGTCTGGCAGGCGAATTCTGTCCATGGGAAGTGAAAGAATTTCATCAGCCGTGTACGATTTGGAGTGGTCAAAGTCTGGGATTCCGGCATCGAGAAGATTAAAAGCCTCTCGGCAAAGAGCGGTTAGGCGAATGGCTTCTGCCAAGTCATCTGGAGTAGCATTGCTGCCATCAACCGTGTTGTCGATGGGCACGGTTGGGGTCAAGGCATAGGGCTGGCGGTGGCCATAATCACCCAATATTGGATTGGCCGATGTAAGCTGGATTGCTGCAGCGGAAGCCATTTTCGTGTCAAGTATTGGAGGTGCGAACAGGTGTTGGTAGTGATTGATGACCAAAGGCTTGACGTTGGCGTGTCTGCGTTGACGATCTGATTCAGATGAGGCAAGGAACTCGGCCTGAACCGGACGTGACACTTATATGTTGAGCATCATGATTCCCAAGTGAATGAAACGACTGTATGGTTTGCCGAGTTCTCGTGGTGAGTGACTCAAGGCTTGTAGTTGAGTGCATCTTCCATTCGCTTCTCCGCACGGCCATAGTCCGAGTCGATTTACGCTTATTCTGGGGCCGTTGAAAGAGGCTATGGCTTCGCCAAGGGCAGAGCTTCTAGGCAGCAAGTGCCAAAATGAATTGGCGAATCAGAGGCGTGCTTGGTAGCCCAGAATGGCATCTGTCATGGTTGTCTGCACTCCGTACTGGATGTCAATGTCGTTGCAAGGGCGTAGTTGACGAGAGTTTGACATGTATATGTCGAATATCACAGTATTGACATGAGGTGACCGAAAGTAGTCACAACATCAGACGATGCAGGCAAAGCAGGCAATGGGCAGGAACCGAAGATCCATGGAAGCCACTGGTTCATTCCGTCTGAGGTGCCTATTGTGACAACGTCCAACGGTACGTATCCTCCACCTCCTGCTCTTTCCACGTTTCGCAAACGGCAGGCAGAGATGACTGCATGACATGGGTGGCTGGTGGCCTGATGACATGATAAGATATGTGGCTGGAGCTGTGGCTACCCCATCGTGCAAACTCCACCAGCCACACATCGTGAACCACTCCACGACGCTTCCATCTTGGCTGTGATGCAGCACCAACCCACCCACACCTCTTTCTTTCCCCCTCTCCCCTTCTCAAGCACCAAACCGGCACCTCACTCACACCTCGGAGCTTTTCAGCTGCAGCGCAACATCAAACGTCTCTATCCCTTGCCCGTCACCTTGTCCCCCGGCCTTTCCAATGTCGCATCGCATGACGGCTCACATCCATTGCCCAGGCCTTGTCTCTCCGCCCGCATTGCAGCCCTGTCTCGTTCCCATTTGCTTTCTGTCTGACTCTGTCACGGAGTCACAGCTGACCGCGACGTCTAGGAATCCACCGCAATCAATCTGTGTAACACGGCGTAGACCACGTCAACAAACGCCCATCACGTCGCCCAAGGGCCAAACATTATGTGTGTGTGTGTGTGTGTGTGTGTGCTAGCTACCAACCGTAGCACACGGTCACCAGTCACCACACCCCATCCGTCGTTCCCAGCTCTGCTATATAACCTGCTCCCTGCGGTTATTAATTTAGCACATTTGTGATTCGTCGGCTGCACCTGTCTCGACCTTGTCTCTCAAAGTCTCATATCGCTCGCGCTTGGACGAGACACTTTGCTTTTCTCACTTTGCTTCTTCGACGGCACACACACACATGCCCACACTATTACTCTTTCCCTCACGCCATGTCACAATGTACCCATGCAGCGGTGAGCAGACAGCGGAGCGCGCCGGTACTTTTCTCATCTTCGTCAACCGCCCGTAATCCATTCCAGCCGTTTTCGTGAATCTTCGGATGGCTTGAGCAAGGAATCTCAAGCTTCTACCAACAGCGAACAAACTTCCGTGGGAGCAAACAACCCCGCTGACTGCAGCAGGGTCTCGCTTCGTCTTGCCTGGCCACCCCGTTGGCCAATCCTCTCATCTTCGCTTGGACTTGTCTCGTTTCGTTCTGCCCATGCGGCAGCGGACGAGGGCAAGAGAAGTAAAAAATGATATATCGTGCAGCATCCCACGGCTGCAGCCCGCTCTCATGCGAGCAGCCGACCACTCACAGACCCTCGGGACCACTTTGCTTTTTGCCGTCATAAATTCTCTCCCTCGGGCATCGACGCATGCGATCAATCGGCAATGCCACAATTTCGGCCGGTTGACACGAGGCTCTGAATCGGCTAGCAACATGCGGGAGTGCTTACCGGAGCTCTTGATTGGAGTCCACATTGCTTTTCTGCATAAGCAGAATGGCGATCTCTTCGGGAGGCATGCAGGGAGGGGCAAGCCATCGAGGCTGTGGGAGACACTTACGCACGCTAAGAAAACAAGATGGTGGTGTGTCTCCCAAGTTCCCGGTCAGGCGGGGGTGCCTTTTTTGCCTTTTTCCCTCCAACACCCTCGACAGCAGCACCAGAGGTATAGACGAGGTTAGCCCTACCAACAGCCCTCCGAAGTGTGTTGTGCGTTGGATGTGACGGCGAAGAAGAAAACACTCTACCCTTGGCATGTTGGCTGTAGAGGGATTGGCCCGCGCGGGGAGATGCAAGACAACCTGTCTCGGTGTGTGGTCGAGCTGGCTGACCGCTCCCCCTTTGGTCCGATTGTTTGGTTGCGTCCTATTACATATTGTGTTGTGGGAAGAAGTCTTTCCGTATATATGTCCACGGCCTGCTGACGAGAGAGCGGCCTACGTTCACTCTTTTCTCACGGTTTGAGGCTGCTGCGTCCCGAAAAGCAAGGCTTCTCTTCCTCTTTCGTCTGATTTTCCCTATTCAGTTCAGCATGTCATCTTTTCCAATGTTTGCTCCCATGCCACGCAGAAACGTGGATGGGCCAGTCCCCCACGCCAAGTGGCCGACAGTCGACGCCTTCCGCCCAACATCGACATCGTCACCGTGGGATGTGGATGATTCTACGGCCCAGACCGTTAGCAAGCTTAACTGTGTCTTCGGTTTCCGGCCACCAAACGCTTACGCCAAGCAACCACCTCGAACATCCCCCGATGAAGTATCCAGGTATTCTCCTGACCTCCAACATCTACGTATAGACCAGACCCCCGAGCTACGACAAGACACCCCTTCGGATGTGCGGACACGGACGTCTTCCTTTGGACCAGAGACGCCTCCTACCAAGTTCGACTCATACTTTGCGTCTGAACCGGCCGTGAAGCCCCCAACACCAAGTCGGCCTGTCCATGCCCATCTACGCTCTCACTCGGATAGCTGCAGCGTCACAAATCTCTGGTCAGATAGCCAAGGCGCATATCGACTCGGGGGTGAAGCAACGTCACATCATGGGATCGATACCAAGCAACAGGGTTATCTTGACGCAGCGACATCTCGCTCGGGAGATAACTCTCAGCCTCAACGTCGGCCGCGTGAGGCATCATCGCCTCACCAAAACTACACAGTCACCCTCACCCGCAACAACCGCGCCGTTACCCTCATCCTACAGCAAGGCCGCCCAACAAAGCAAGGACAAGCAACCATAACCTGCTATCGCCAAACTTCCCTGGCTCTGGGTGGACCCTACGCCGAATTCTTCAAGGCGTCCGAGGCCCTAGTCCTTCTGCAGCACATGGTGAACGCATCATCAATGTCCTTTGTACCCTTTAGCAAGCGGGAACGCTCCGAGTTGATGCTCCGCATGCGAACATCGCCAGACGCCATGATTCTCGGCGAACCTTGTTCCAACGCCCGCGCGTGGACGAGCTTCTTCTCCACGGAACTAGGTGCTGGGACGGCCTGGGAGGTGGGCACCGTCATTTTCCCCTGGAAGGTGCTCGAGAGGCTGATGAGCTCTCTCAATTCCGAATTCGCGCGCAAGAGGAGAGTGCAGTCCCGCGCCGCCGCGGCATTTAACAGACGCGAGGCGGAAGAGCATGCGGGACCTAGAGGAGGACGTGGAGGCGCGGCCTTTCAGCACAGCTACAGCCACTCCTACGACTCGCGCCCCGTATCTCTGCACCTCGCCGGTGCAGAGCATGGCAACCTCGAAGCAGCAGCAGCAGCTGGGGACCGCAGCTCTGTGGCATCTGGGTCACCGCCCCCTCGGACACCAACAGAGATCCTCCCACCCAAGCTGCAACTCTTATCGGAGCAGCGCAACCCTCAGCTTCACCAGTCTCCTCCTCCTCCGCCTCCTCTGGCGGCCCTCACAGTCGCGCAAATCCGAACGCGCAGACGCCAGCACTCAGAGCCTGCCATCCGACGCCTAAGCCTAACGCCGCCGCGCATCTCGCTACTCAAATCCAACAATCTACGTCGGTTGCACGCTTCTTCAACGCCGACGCGGCTCGAGTTTTACGACTCGATCCGGGCGTGGCCTGCTAGTTCGCACCGGGCACGTGTGAGGCTACCACCGTGCTCGCGATTTCTAGAGATGGTTGAGGACCAGGGGGCTGATTCTCATAATCCGATTGTGGTTTGAGGTTCCTCTCTTAGACCGGCTTTTACTCTCCTGCATTCCTGCATGTAGCTTCTTCATGTGTTTGTCTTCTACTTCTATTTCTTCTCTTCTATTCTTGTGTGTGGATAAAGTTGCCTGTAGAACACAGGGAGCAGGGCATCTTGACTGCGCGCAGCATTCTACTCTGCTCTCCACAGTTGTTGTTGGGTTCAAGACTTTTTAGACGGGATTACTACCATATGTGTACACGGGAAACAAAAATGGGGAACTGAACGGGTTTATGAGAAATGGACTATGTGAAATGGAAAATGAAACGAACGATACAAAACAATTGTTAGAAATAGGGCAGTATTCTTGAGGAGAAACACTTTAGATAGAGAGAGACAAACAGGATCATGTGGTTTTTCGCTGGGCGAAACCGCCAAAGTCACAACGGGCAGGATCCTGATGAAGAGCAAGAGAAATGGTGTTACGCTCATGAAGAACAACGTCCTCGCGGGTTTTGTTCCATGTACTACAAATGGCTTGACGAGATTTAGGTTTAGGAACACGAAAATCACCAAGTATAGACACTATGCCTAACATGTTGACTGGTTCTCCTCCTCCCTCTCTGTTCCCCTTTTTTTCTGCGAACAGCAGTAGTAGTGAGTCACTGGAATGTTTACTCTTTTTTTTTACGCCCGTAGCTGTTTGATGGAACATGTCGCATCATAGCTCCGAGCTTAGCTGAAGTTTACTATCTCAGGAATGTAAATCCTGTCTCTCATGTGTCAGATCGGACATGCGACTTTCATGCGATCTGAGACCGTCTGACATACGGCCGGAGAATTTGAAATTGACATGTATTCGTAGGTCAGTAGCATCGGTTCTAGAACTTGCGAGGTTGCTCGGATTAGAGTCTACAGATCATCGGGTACGGATATAATTTTGGAGAACTTCCCCGACGTTAGCTGAGCGGTTGACGCCCGTGATGTATCCGTAGAGCAACAAAAAAACAGTCTGACTCGCGATGCTCGTGCCCTTGCGCACCCCTCCACTCTCAGGAGTATCTCGCTTCTGTCTCTGGTAAATAGTAAGACGCGGATATCAATCGCCAAAGTGAACCACGTTGTCAAATGGCCTTCAACTCTCCGTCGCGATGCAGAGCTCGAAATCCACAAGTAGTCTCCAGACTTCTCTGCCCATTAAGCCGCTCGAAGTTTCTCTTGGCGCTGATGATTCCCGGAGTTTAAGTGCGAACCACTCCGTCGGGCACATGGGGACCTATCCTCGCCCAACTGCAGGGACCAGGACCATCACAAATACACTTTTAATCAACGGATGTAAATTAAGAAGACCAATAACAGCTCTTGGGCTCTCAGCACAGGTTACACAGCCGTTGACAACTTCCCAAACTTGAGACGAACATTGACGGGGGTGTCCACGTTCACCAATGTCGGGGTAGCCGTGCCGCGATCCACTTCTCGCAGGACTTCATCTTTTAGAGTTTCTGGTGATGGAGTTGTCTGTGTCTCCTCTCCGCCCCTTTTACCGGGTAATAGGATCATGGTCATCCCAACCATTCAAAAGTCAACGCCCGTGCGCCGTGGAGGCGCGGTGAGATATAAGTCTCCGTCCCACCTCGTTCTCACGGGGTGAGAAGGCAATCGTGAGGTTTTCGCCAAGTACACGTCTACTCACCACAGTCACTCGTTCCCTGGCATCTACTCAACTAAACGTAAATAAACGGCGAATTTGCGATCGACGAAACACCGTCCATCACCGAATAGCCTTCGACCCCGAAAAGAAAAACGCAACAATGGCCCGCTCAACCCTCACACTCCTCGCCGTGGCAGGCCTCGCATCGGCAGGCAGCCTCCTGACTCCGCGCCAGGACAACGAGACGAAGCCGGCGGTCGAAATCACGGCGCTGAACAAGAACGTCTCGGCGACGTCTGGGTCGGGCGCTGTTAGTGCCGCGGGGACGCTGGCGCCGTTTGGCGGGATTGGAGTTGGATGTGGAATCAATTGGGCTGAGGGGCAGTCTTTTGGAGGTAAGTTTTCAAGCAATGAAGAGAGATGCATGGCTTCCTGGGATTGTCAGAAAGGTGGAGGGTGCTAAAAATGAGTGAGGAGACGGATGGGCAAGTGGGATTGGGATGTGGTGTGCGAGTAGAGAGCATGCAAGAGAGGGAATGCTATGATCTGGAACCCCTCAACGAATGGAGAGGGATGACTTGGAGGAACTCAAGAGCGTCGAGGTGCCTATCTTCTCTTGACGTAGGATGACTAGCTGACGTATCTTGTCTTTGCCAGGTGGCCTGCAATCCGGCTCCGAAGCCTTTGGTCTTGGTGGTGGCTTCACAATCACCAAAGACACGATGAACATTGGTCTGGGAATCGGCATCAACCCGATCAACTTCAACTCCAGGTAGGCAGAAACCAACTCAAACCACTCAAATCACTTAATTGCGGGCTGCGTCGCTATAGCCCCGGGTTTCCGCATGCTCGCAACATGTATCACGAGTGCGGGAGGGTTGAAGAAGGGGGCCGGTGAAGGCCCACGCCTGGCCTAAAGTTTTCATGTTTGCTTCTTTTCTTCCCCTTGAAAAGTTAGACGATGCTGACACCTTGGTCTTTATACAGTGTCAGCTACGAGGCGTCGACGAACGGCACCGTGAGCTTGGTATTTACTTCGACCTCGGCGATTAAGTGCGAGGAGACGACTGTTGATGGTGTTAAGGGCGTCAAGTGTACGTCGACCTGAGATGTCAAGGTACTCGGAGGCTCCCGCAGTCGTTATTCGCTTTGAGCGTGTTAAAATTGTAGACACATATCTGCTATCCACAATTCCCCAATGATGTGAGTCCCTCAGTGAAGACGTGACCAGCCATATTGAACCATGAGCATAGTCCAGTCGTGTGAAGGGGGAGGTTAGTAATGAGGTTGAGAGTGATTGTGAAGAGGACCTTGAGATCCCGGTACCGTAGTTGTGGGACAACGATTTAAGCACGGCGGCCCGCTACTTTGGCCAAGCTTTTGCAACGGTCATACGGGTTCCTGGGATCTGTGGAGCAGAGGGTTGGGGGGCTTAGATACTCCAAGGTGTATGCTCAGGGAGTGATCAACATCTCTCGACATCGACGATGACCCAAATGTACAGTGCCTCCGCCATGCTTTTCTTTTATGCAAGGTAGAATCAGCAATAGTCCATAAAGGTTGAGGTGTTCCGATCAAAACTGTAATTGACTGTCATAGCCTTTTCGTGGTGGTTGGCACCGGGCATGATCATTCTCTAAGCCATTAATCTGAGAATAAGTTGAAAGAAATTGAGGCTTTTCACAGTTTTAGTCCCTCAATCGGGTTTCTGAATTATACTTCATCTTGCCCGAGGTTCAGTAGACTACAAAGGTTGACGACGTTCAGAGATCGCATCAAATCAACCATTCTGTCCAAGCCCTAGAGCCCATCTCCGCTACCTTTTGGTTCAGCCTTGGTGATCGTATCTCCCTCTGATAGATATAAAATAGATAGATATTCTCGTCTTTGCAGTCTGCTTGTCTTCTATCTCCGGTCCACAACCCATCTCCGCTTCACTACATCGGCACATGCCAACTTCCCATACAAACATCAAGCACTCGCTTGCCCTGAACCAGCCTATAGTCGTCTCACCACACTACTCTCTGAACACAATCTCTTCTCACTACCCTACTCTCTTCTGTTGACCTCTCTTCACCTTTCATCATCCACCAACTGTAGTCATGTATACCAGCATGAATACCCAGACCGCCACCGCCGCTGCCGCCACCACCACCATGGCGACATGTAAGTCAGTCGCCGCGGGCAGCATCCGAGTGAGCTCTGGACTCTTCTCCACCGCCGCCGCCAAGCTCTCTCATCGGCGTCGTCAATACGGCACCAGTTGGTGTGACGGCGCCGATGAGAGCGGCGTCTACGACCTGTGCGCGGTCGAGGATGAGGAAGAGGATGAGAATGAGGGATGGTGGGAAGACTCCTCTGCTATTGAGGACGAGGACGAGGACGAATACGACATGGTGCAGTATTTCGTACCTGAGGAACGCAAGCAACAGAAACTTGTCGTTCCTAGCATAATGCTCACCACTACTGAGGGCAACATCTTCTTCGGCAATGCCATCCCAGAGGGAACATGGTGCACCGAGTCCCGCGAGTCCTTGGATCTGCGCACAAAACACATCAACAACGCAGAAAGGTTCCTCTGCCCGGGTGACTGGAGACAGCTCCGCAACGCCTTCCGCCTGTGGCAACAGCAGGAGTATGACCAGCAGCTGGAGCAAGAGCGGCAGCAGGAAGAAAAAGCAGAGGCCGCGTTGCGCGAGCACCAACAGCTTTACGCTCCCTTGATCTTCCTCACAACCCCCGAGGGCGACATCCTCACGGGCGACGATATCCCAGAGGGCCAGAGGGCTGATAAGTCCCGCGAGGCCCGTCGTATGAAACAGCAATACGCCGCCAACGCAGAGACGCAACTCTGCCCGGGCAATTGGAATAAGATCCGCGACGCCAACCGTCCCGAGGAGCCAGAAGACCCGGTTCTACACATCAACCAGCGCGAGGACGCCACAAATCCCAAGGGCAGTCGCAGCTGGCAGAAGCGTCTCGCGCGCATCAACCAGCGCAGTCAGAGACGGCGAGCGAGACAGCAGAAGCTCGAGGAGGCGGAGCGGCTCTGGCGGCTGCAGAAGGTGGAGGTGGAGGAGTTCAAGGCCGAGCGGAGGGCCAAGGTCGAGGCGCTCGAGAGGATTGGCGCGGCGGGGGATTTCCCTGCGTGGAGTCGGAAGATGGACCGGGAGCAAGGGGAGGCGGAGGAGAGGCTTAGGTTGCTGAGGAGTGAGTTTGAGAAGATATTTGAGGGGGATTGCGGGAACCAGCAGAGTGAGGTTGAGGAGTGAGCATAAAGTGTCTCTTCTCTCTCTCTCTCTCTCTCTCTCTCTCTTCTTGGGTGACTCAGGTCGCTTCTGGTAGAATAAGCACGAAGCTTCTGTTCCCTTCTCTAGGATACCGCCGGTGTATTATTTTGGTTAATACACGGCGAAGATGGCCATGACCTACGGCCTTGGTGTTGGCGTCTAGTTGCTTTGATAAATTGACTACCGCCTTCCCTTTCTCACTTGCTTTTCATCGCGCTTCAATGCCTCTTCGCCATGGTTGACGATCATCGTCCATAACAAGCCTCGTCAATATGAATGTCTTGCATGGGTTTGATCTGAACTGGTTTGAATTAACCTATTGTGAAACACTTGCTGTAAGAATCGACTGCTGTATCTGCCTCTACACGAGTTCGTATCGTATTCGATGGGTTAATGTCGTCTATAAGAGGCGTCCGGTTTGTCAGAAGTCTACAGTGCAATTTGATACCGAGCCTCATCTGAGCGAGCTGCCTTTGTATGTCGTTGCGCGGACTGTCCACGTGCTATAAAGTCATCCCAAGTTGTGTTTGCATGTAGAACATGTGCACCGTCTGACGCCAGCATATCATGCTTACATACCGATTTACCTACGAGGGAGAAGACGGCAGGACGGGAAGATGACGATGGTAAGCCTGTGCCCCAAAACTCTAAAAGACCGGATGTTCCTTAGCTGGTCTTGGTTGTATTAGTGTAGGGAACGATAGTTCTTCCGAGGCTTCACCTGTTCACCTAACCACTAGTCAAGCTCATCGACTTGCACCGATACCAGTGCTTGACATGTTCGTTTGCTCAGTGATTAACTAAGTGTCTTCTTCATCCACTGTCTCATCCCGACCCGTCTCTTGAGTACCCAGCTTGGGACAGTAAAGAGATTCCTCCGTGAAGACGACGTCAGAGAGCCAAGCTCATCGTCGATCCAGGGTCCCGGGATGTCTTGGCAGAGCGTCAGTGTCCGGGGGGAATGCGGGGGAGGCGAAGCGTTCGTTGGCCGTCTGAGGGATAGTCTGCAAGCACCATGGAGTAGCAAACACACCAACCCCCACTCGATTTCGGAGCCCAGTGCAGCAGTTGGAAGTTTTGCTGCTTATTGGTGATGTTGCTGCCACTCGCGTGACTGATATGCATGACGAGAACATTGAATACACCCAAGGTATTGTGTAGAAAAGGGAAAAGAAGGTATCAAGACCCACATTCACGCCGGCCTGAGGGGTCCGTCTACTGGTACAGTGGTACTGAAGAAAACCCGACCGATCGACCGAGCGGCCAATCCGCGTGGGCCGGCTCCCAACGTCGACCGGGGGGGCAAGCGCCAAATGGGAAGCGTCCCTTCCGTGCCCCTCACGCCGTCTTTTACGGTCTTCCCACCTACTCATGCTACCACCATACACAGTAAGTACGGAAGGGAAACCATCACCTCACTCCTGGCTGCACTTCATCGTCCGATTCGGCACCTGTTTTGAGCAACAAAGTAACGTGCTTTTTCATCGCTTCCGCCTCCTACCATACACACACCACCACCCTGACACCCCCAGACACCCCAAGACAACCTCACTTTGGACGACCACACCCACTTCGGGAGTTGCAAAACATTGACCATCCCCGGATCTTCCAGCTCGTTCCTGTCACCCTGTTCCCCATTTGGCTCTTCCCCGCCAGCCACTGCACAAGCGACGTCACGACAAACTCAGCTACGCTGGCAACGCTGATACTGCGTACGCTGTCACGAAACGAGCAATCAGAAAGTCGCGTGGTTCGATTGTTGGCACTTACTGTGTGGACGACGGAACTTTTTAAAGACAGACTTGGTCGCACACCCCACCGTCTGAAGACACGCCACTTTTTGGATCGTCTTACACCAAGCTTGTCTACCTTGTCTTGCCTCTCATCAGGTGTGCCCAAATCTTCGTCCCTCGCTTTCTTGAAACACAAGCCCCGAGCTTCTTTTCTGGCTGGGCTCCTGTTCGTTCGTATATAAAATCATATACGATTTCCACTTTTCTTTTTCATATACCACCCGCCACTACGACGAACAATGGCACCCGAAGTACTTCAACAATTTGCCGTAGGTGGAGGACTCCCAGTAACCAAGATGCAGGATCCAAAAGAGAAGTTTTATCACCATTTTCAAGAGGAAGTCATCAGTACGTTCGCCCCACGAAACAAGGACCGAATGATCATCTGATCTTTTCTGGGCCGGGTACTAACCAGAAACCCCGCACCCAGGCCTACAAGAGCAGATCGACAATGTGAGCTCCATATCTAAGGTCGGTGGTGAGAGGCAAGATGCCATTGATCACATCCTGGCCGGCATATCGAATCTTTCCAACGAAGTCGCCGACGCTTCCGACTATGTTCCATCGTACGACCAGCGCAACTACGCCCAGGTGGGTTTGAATCCATGTTTGATTCCATGACTTACTCAGCGTTCCCAGCTCATCTGACTGACACCCTTCACTCAACCAGGCCGTCAAAGCTCTCACAGACAAGCTGAATGAAACCACGGCCAAACTGGCCCCGCGCTCACGCTTCCAATTCAAGCCCCGCGGAGCCAGCTCAGCAGCATCAACAACAACCACCACCAACGACCCATCCGCTCCCAAAAATGACCCCCGTCTCATGGTAGGAGCAAGCCTTGCCGACCCCCTCCCCCCATCCCGCGGTGGGCCGGTCACCGCTCCCGCAACCCAAGCCGCCACAGAGACGGATACCGACGGCCTCGGCGACCTCCCCAACTTCCCAAAGAACTACAACGAGGAAATGGCCCGCCCCAGCGCCACCAAAGTCCGAAAACCCAGCTTCTCCACCGCAAAGGACATTGCCATTTTCGGCCAGGACGGCCTGCACATCATCCTCCCGTCCTCGGCGTCGCGGGCGACGAGTTCCGGCCGCTTGACGGATCTCCGGGGGTGTGTAGTGGATATGTCCATCGCTCTCTCGGGCCACACCTCGTTTGCGAACCTGGTGCTCAAGAACGTCGAGAGGAGCCTGATTGTCGCGGGCAACGTGGCTGGGCCGGCGCATATTACGGGCGTGTTGGACAGTATCATTGTCGTTTCCGCGAGGCAGGTGCGCATCCACGAGTGTAGGAATGTGGATATTTATCTGCACTGCTCGAGTCATCCTATTATCGAGGATTGTTCCAATATGCGGTTTGCGCCACTGCCGTCTAGCTTTGTAAGTAAACCCCCCCATGTTCCCATACTTTTCCTCTTTTCCTTGTGTCTTTGGAGGTATCGACTGCTGACCGCCGAGCAGGACACGACGGAAGACTCCACCAAGAACCAGTGGGATCAAGTAGACGACTTCAAGTGGCTCAAGTCGGAACCCAGCCCGAACTGGAGAGTCTTAGCTGAGGAGGCGAGGCTGCCCGAGGAGATTTGGACAAAGGTTGTGCCGGGCGAGCGCGGCAAGGATTTGCACGATATCCTCAAGGCGGTCGGGGTTCAGAAGCATTGAAAATCGGATAGAAGATGGTGTTCATCGACGGGATGCAAGAGAGAGAGTGAGAGGCCGTTGCTGCTTGAATTTTCTGAGTCGAATCTTGGATTGGAGTTTTAAGGAAGGGCGGTTTTGCAGTCGCAGGGGATGCATGGTACGATGCGGCGCGAAAAACACAGCGTCCTTTCTCGGTTCTCAACATATCTTCGTTTGGTAGTTCGCATTTCGGGGTATCATAGGAATTTCAATCTGGCAAAAACATCTCCGTCTCAATCTCCCTCCCTCTCGCGTTTGTTCCCCTTCGCAGCTTCTCGCTTGAAGCCTTTCTTCGCTCGCAGCGAGTCGTGAAGGCGAACTATTCCATCTTTCTCATCACTCCGTCTCCATCTTATCCCCCCTCCCGCCCTCCTCATGCCCAAACTTCACCCCCGCCTCCCTCAACCGATCCAGCACCTCGCGCTGCATCCGTATCCTCTCCTCAAGCTCCTTGATCTCCTCCTCCTGCTCGTCAACGGTGCGCTCCATGTCCGGCAGGGTACGCATCTGCGTGCGGGCGCGCTGCAGCTTGTGCTTGAGGGCGTCGGTCTGCGCGGGGACGTCTTTGAGGGAGAGCGGCGCGTTGGGGCTGGCTGCGGAGGCTGCACCGCCGAGGGGGTTGGGTGTCGCGCCGGGACCGGTGCCGGCTGGGGTTGCGCCTGTGGTGAGGCCGCCGCCGATGGAGGAGGAGGAGGAGCCCGAGGTCTGGATTGCGGTTCGGAGGCGGGTGAGGATGCCTGTTAGTTCGGTGAGGGTGTCGAGGGCGTCTGGGGAGAGGGTTGGGGGTAGTTCGAGGGGGTGAGGCGGCATTTTGGGTGGTTTTGGCTTTGGTTTCGGGGTCGTGTGTGTGTGAACAGAGAGGAGACGTTCTGCGTTGTTCAAAGTCTGATGGCAGTTGTCGGTGAAACGGGTGATTTGTGGAGAGGTATCGGGCTATTCTCAGCCTCGCGGTAGGTGCGTGAGGGAGAATGGAGCTGGTTCGTTGGCTTGGAAAGTCAATTAAAGCGCAATGGGGACGTTGTAGGTGGGATGAGGTGAGGCGAGGTGAGTTGAGGTGATTTGAGGTGCAGTTGCTCGGTGAGGTCCGTCCACGTCCAGGGTCGTGTCAAGCTGGAACGGCAAGGGCCAAGGGCCAAGGGAGGGGGGGCAAGCTCCGCCGGGGCAAGGAGCTTCCACGGGCGTTTTAGCGCAGCAGCGATTGGTAGCTAAAAATTGTTGAAAGTCAACAGAGGGGCAGCCGGGCAGCCCGCACCGTTTTTGACGGAGATGGCACGGTACAACCCCCAATAACGTATGCTGAGGTGGACAGTGTGATTACGGAGTGCAACGGCACGGATCTATTATCGGCGATACTATGACATAACCCCCCACCAAACACTGACACCGATAAAACAGCCCAGGCGCCGGAAAGCTCACCTACCTGCCTACGGAGTACCTAAGAAAAGGTGGTACATTGGCTGATTCAATCAAATCTCCTCAACCAGCACTTCTCTCACCACCACCACCGCCGTAAATAAAAGTCTCCATCCCCGGAACAGAAAAAAATCACGCACTTCCTAGAACTCTGTGTTCATCCATATGCCCTCTTGTGTAAAGAAATTGCTGCACAGAAAATAACCTAATTCACCATGGCCAAGACCGACCAGAAGGCCTGCCTGAGTACGTCCAAAGATCTCCCTCCAGACCCTCCGTGCCCCTCGTCGAAGCCCCGCGGTGATGGAGATGATGGTGGTGGTGGTGTGAGTGTCGAGGCTGGCCACGAAAACCACCAGAACGCGCCGCCAGCAGAAACAATCCCCTCGCTTCTCCTTCAGCAACCAAAACCAAACCCCAAATCCAATCCCGATTACATCCTCACTCTTGCCTACATCGTCCTCTATCTCCAAGTCGGCTGGCTAATCTTGTGGATTTTGCGCTCCTACAGTCGTGATTGATGGCTGGGGTGTGCCCGGCGCCGACTCCCCCAAGGATGGCGACGCCATTACCAACGCAAAGACCCCCGTCATGGACGACTTTGCTCAGAGCAAGACCGGATACTGCGAGCTCGACGCCTCCTCCATTGCCGTCGGCCTGCCCGAGGGTCTGATGGGTAACTCGGAGGTCGGTCACTTGAACATTGGCGCCGGCCGTGTCGTCTGGCAGGATGTCGTGCGCATCGACCAGACCATCAAGGAGGGCAAGTTCGCCGACAACGAGGTCATTAAGAAGACGTTTGAGGGTGCCAAGAACGGCAACGGAAGACTGCACCTCTGCGGTCTCGTCTCCCACGGTGGCGTGGTGAGTTCCAGATTCTGAGCCCATCCTCCTTCCCTTTCCTCAAGATGTATGATAGTCTAACATACACACCCCTCCCAGCACGCCAAGCAAGAGCATCTCTACAACCTCCTCAAGGCCGCCAAGCAGTACGGCGTCCCCAAGGTCTACATCCACTTCTTCGGCGACGGCCGTGACACCGACCCCAAGTCCGGCGCCGGCTACATGGAGGAGCTCGTCAAGACTGCCAAGGAGATTGGCATTGGTGAGATCGCCACCGTCGTCGGCCGCTACTACGCCATGGACCGTGACAAGAGATGGGAGAGAGTCGAGATCGCTCTCAACGGCTTGATCAACGGCAAGGGCGAGGAGAGTACCGACCCCGTCAAGACCATTAAGGAGCGCTACGCCAAGGGTGGCGACAAGGATAAGGACGAGTTCTTGACTCCCATCATCGTCGGCGGCGATGAGGGCCGCATCAAGGGTGAGCACATCTTTCTCCCCAAAAAGCACCCTTCGTAACTAACAGAATCCCCAGACGACGACACCGTCTTCTTCTTCAACTACCGCTCCGACCGTGTCCGCCAAATCACCCAGGTCCTCGGCGACGTCGACCGCTCCGTCCTCCCCGACTTCAAGTTCCCCAAGATCAAGAACCTCGTCACCATGACCCAGTACAAGGTCGACTACCCCTTCGAGATCGCCTTCAAGCCCCAGCACATGGGCAACGTCCTCGCCGAGTGGCTCGGCAAGCAGAACGTCGAGCAGGTCCACATCGCCGAGACGGAAAAGTACGCCCACGTCACCTTCTTCTTCAACGGTGGCGTCGAAAAGGTCTTCGCCCTCGAGACCCGCGACGAGTCCCAGGACCTCGTCCCCTCCAACAAGTCCGTCGCCACCTACGACCAGGCCCCCGAGATGTCGGCCGACGGCGTCGCCGACCAGGTCGCCAAGCGCCTGGGCGAGCAAAAGTTCCCCTTTGTCATGAACAACTTTGCGCCCCCCGACATGGTCGGCCACACTGGCGTGTACGAGGCCGCCATTGTAGGCGTCGAGGCCACGGACAAGGCCATTGGCAAGATTTACGAGGCCTGCAAGAAGGAGGGCTACGTCCTCTTCATCACCGCCGACCACGGCAACGCCGAGGAGATGAAGTTCGCCGACGGCAAGCCCAAGACGTCGCACACCACCAACAAGGTGCCCTTCATCATGGCCAACGCCCCCGAGGGCTGGAGCCTCAAGAAGGAGGGCGGCGTCCTGGGTGATGTCGCGCCTACCGTCTTGGCTGCGATGGGTCTGCCCCAGCCTGAGGAGATGACTGGCGCGAACCTGCTGTCCAAGGCATAAATGAAGTACTGTTGTTTTTTACTTTTATGTTTTGGGTCGGGGCGGGTATGTTGTCGGCGGAGTTGAGGTGAGGGTGTGTCTTTGGCGAGCGAGGTTTTCATAGGGGAGAAAAAAAAAGTTGAGACTCTGAGAGTGAGTGCTGGCGTGTGTTGTAAAGGATTATGATGACAATAGACAACCCTAAAGTTATAGAAAATGAGAACACGCTTTGATGATATGAATGGTTTTGGATTGCGTTCATCTACTTGGTGAAATCAAAGAGTGTATTCTTCTTGGGCTCAGACTCTGCCGTAGTTGTTGTCACATACAGATCTCAGGGCGATTAGGTAAGTAAAACAAATATCCTCATTAACTTCTCAAACAAACCCTCAGGATTTTGATGTGTGGTAGAAGACCAAGGCCAGGCATAGACCTATGGTGAACAAAAGAAATATCCTGGTGGTATTTATCTCAGTCTCATACCTATGAACACAATTCAAGAACCCCCTATTCCCGCTTCGCCAACCATGTATATCTACCCCTGAAAAACCGACACATCCATACAAAGAAACACGTCGATCCCCTATTTGAATCTCCACTCAACATCCTCCCATCCAGCCCGCCTCGAAAGAGTCGCCTTGCTAGACTTGCTTCCATAAATCGGCGACCGAAGACCAGAAGTAGAAAACGGCATCTCATGATCCGGCACCTGCACGCCCTCGAGCTCGAACCCGACAGCCAAGCACGCCACCGCGCCCAACAACTCGGCAAACGCAAAGTTGCGACCGGGGCAGAGGTGCTTGCCGCCGCCAAACGGCACAAACGATTCCTTGGTGCCCTTTGCGATGTCGGGCGTGTTCTTGAGCCACCGCTCTGGGTTGAACTCCTCGCCGTCCTCGCCCCAGACGGGCTTCTTGTGCATCACGGACGCGCTCCACTGCACCTCGACGCCCTCCTTGAGGAGGTACTGCCTTCCTGTCTCGTGATCCGTGAGCGTCGTGTCCTTGCTCGTGACGGTCCGGCTACCAGTAACAGTATTCTCCGAGCGGAGCGTCTCGCGGTAGCACGCGACCACGTACGCGCACGACTTACCCAGCTCCGTGACGTCAATCGTAGCAACGCGTTTTCCGCCCTCGGCGGTGATGGCCAGCGCGGCCGAGGACTCGACCTCCTCACGGACGCGGGCGAGGTATTTCGGGTTCGCAAAGACGTTGACGATGAGCCAGAACATGGAGGGCGCGGTGTTGACGGTCGAGGCGGCGGGGAGAGAGTCCATGGCGCCGAGCATGATATCCGAGAGGCCGAAGCCGCGCCAGAACTCGGCGCGGCCGCGGATGGTGGCCGAGACGGTCGGGCCTTGGTCCATCTTGCGCATGTAGTAGCCGACGAGGCCCGTGACGATCTTTTTGCGGGCTTCGAGGGCTTTGCCGGCGATGATTTTGGAGATCCAACCGTACTGCATCTTGCCCATGCCGCTTTCGTATGTCCTACGCAGGGGGTGTCAGCTACATCACTTACAGGGAGAATAGAAGACAACGTGGTGATGAGGAGAACAGAACAAACGTACCAGATAGCGTCAACCAGCTCCAAGTTGTTAAACGGGCTGTGCTCGCCATACAGAGCCCTCGTCGTCGCAACGCCAATCAACCCACGAGCCCAGTAAAACACATCATCAATCTTCTCGGGGTTTCCGGGCTTGACCTCGTTGAAGCGGCTGCCAATGTAGTCGAGCGCGCTCAGGTTCAGCTTGAGCAGGTTCTCGCCGGACAGGGCGGAGATGGTGACGCGGGAGATCTCCTCGACGGCGTTCTCCTTGACGAGGCGGTGGGTGATGTCCGGGTTGATGCCCATGGCGCGGCCAATCTCCTCGATGCGGGCGCCGAACTCGAGCGTCTTGTTGCGCATGGCGCTCTGGACCAAGGGCGCGCTGTTGATGACGTACATTTTCTTGCCGAGGACGGGGATTGTGCAGATGGGGAGCTTTGTGCGTTTACTACATGTAGAAAGATTTGGTGTTAGTGTTGTGTTTTACTATTATGCCCTTCATGAGGTCCGGACTGCCTCCGAGGAGCGTATTTAGAGTGTCTAAAGCGTTGAGGGTGTTGTCAACTCACGCCAGCTTCTCGTAGACACCAGGGTACGAAGTGTTCACGGTGATCCAGTGGCCGATGATGGGAAGAAGGCCCTTGACGACGGGGGGCTCGCGGGGGTCCACGGGCGCGGCGACGAACTTGTCAATGACCATCAGGACCGTGACGACGAGGGCCACGGCAGAAGCAATCAGCTTGACGGAGGATGTCGAGCTAAAGCGCTCCAACAGCGTGGCGACCGCAGTCGCGGCAGCGCTCGAGGAATCCGCCATGATCGCAAGGGCGTCAAAGCAGAATAAGAAGAGATTCAAGCTCCTGTCGAAAGGGGAAGTGAGAGCTGTGTCTACTGGGAAACAAGTTCACAGTAAAGGAAGGGGAGGGTCGGGGTAGGATAGTTGAAGTGAAAAAGGGTGTCGTTGATCCTTCACCCGGCAGTCAGAGACGTGCCTCGTGGTTTTATATAAGTCGTTCGACCTGCGCTTCGCCCAAGCCCTTCGCTTCCCTTGCCCCCCCTCCCTCCACCTCCTCGGACTCTACATCTAAGCCGTCTCATCAAAACATAGGGTGACAGGTACAGGTCTTGTTCAACAAGGCACGGTTCAGACGAGCTTCCCTAAACCTTCTTTTCGCATATGCGTCTTGCACTGCCCTTGCCTTTTGCTCGTTTTCCCATCCATGAGTAGGAAACTAGGTAGCTTAAAGCAAGCGGGGGATCCTAGGCAAAATGGCGAAAGGGGGGTAAGGATTACGATTCCTTGCTCTCTCATTGGCGTTATCATCGTCTAGCGAGACGGCATTTCTAATTACTCAGGCTGTCCGCGTATAACCAAAAAAAGATATGCAAATAGGGTGCCCATACATGTGGCCGCAGCATGGCATTGGCGTGTGTTTTGCGAACATTATCTTGCAGGAGTGAGAGTCAGGGGGGGGGGGGGGAGCTTCGCGAAGCTTGGAAGCTTGGTGTGAGTTCAGAGTTGGGGGATCGTCCCTCTTCGCCAAGCTCTGGGCCGAACCAGCATTGGGCGGGAAAAAGCGTTTCTTAATTCCCCGCGCGCCAATGAAACCACAAAGGCCTAAAGACTGTCCCCGGTCTCGGTTTCGGTTCCGCATTGCCAGGGGGGGGGGCTTAACGATGCGATCCCGAGTCTGCCTCGTTCCCATTGTAAAGTTGTAACAGCGCAACACAGCACAGCACAGGCTGCTCAGCAAGCTGTGTTTAAGCTCGTACAGCGGTACGAAATATGAGCTTTATAGTTTCGACGGGGTTGAAGAATTGACGTATAAGAAAGCGATAGCTGAATCCTGGAGTATGAATGAATGTTGAAAGTTGCATCTCTAAACCGCTGTATCATCCCTTTCCAAAATCGACTCGCCGTAATTCCATAACACCTCCTAGCCCCTTTTTTCAAATCCTCCTTAAGTAAAGTTCATTATGGCCAGCGTCGAAGGACTCCGCGTGATCGTAGCCGGCGCAGCAACAGGCGTCGGCGCCGGCACCGCGAAGCTCCTCGCCGCCCGCGGCGCCAAAGTCGTCGTCGCCGACATCAACATCTCGGCTGCCAAACAGGTCGGCGAGGAAATCACCGCTGCCGGTGGTAGCGCCCTCGTCGTCGAGTTTGATCTTTCCGACGAGGAGTCCATCAAGAACCTGGTCGCCCAAGGCACCGAGTGGCTCGGTGGTGGGCTCGACAGCCTGCTCAACATTGGCGCCGACCTGAGCCCGCAGAACCTGGGCAACGACAAGTCGGTGCTCGATATGGACGCCGCCGTGTGGCAGCGCACCTTTTTGGTGAATACTACGGGGTATGCTCTTACGACTAAATATGCGCTGCCGCATTTGAAGGCGGCTGGTGGGGGCACGATTATCAACATTTCCAGTGTAAGTCACTCTATCTCTCTTCCCATCATGTTTGACAGACAGCAATCAAAGAGAAAAACAAGAGAACTGACAAAACGCAAAGATGGGTGGCCACTACATGGGTACACCGGAACCAATCCGCGTAGCCTACGCGGCATCCAAGGCCGCCGTGCACGCCCTCACCCGGCACACGGCAGCGACCTACGGCCCGGACAACGTCCGCTGCAACACCGTCGCCCTCGGCCCCATCCTAACGGCCGCCCTCGAGAGGGGCATCGCCGCCAGCCCGGCCATGCAGGAGGGTCTCAAGAGGGTTCCTCTCCGGAGGCTGGGCAAGCTGGAGGAGGTTGGCGCGCTGTTGGCGTTTATGATTTCGCCTGATGCGGCGTACATCACTGGTGACATTTGGTCCATCAACGGTGGAACTCACGTCATGACGTATTAGTGAAAAGTTACCTATAGTCTAAGCAGGCGATTATGTATAAATTTGAAAACTTATTTCGCGTTTGCCATTATGTCTTCCGCGCCTTCAAGATAAAGACCGTCACTCTGGGCCGTCGTTGATTTTGACTTTGAGGGGCAATGATGCAGTTGTGGAAACCATGTTTTGGAAGAGAATCACCCCGGTGTATTGACTTTCTGCCTCTTTGGCTAAAGAGCAATACTGCCCAGATGATGAAACTCAAATACAGAGTCACGATATCAGAAGTTATACGAGCTAGTTGCGACGTTGAGGATCCAAACAAGTTGAACCTCATGTTCAAGGTGATGTTGCAAAGTATACATGTAGTCTGTAGCGGAAAAGGTAACGTGCCTTGTACGATACTATCCGCGTATTACATAGCACAACGGTAAATGAAATTTCAGGCTCGACCAATAGCGACCTTGTAAGTCGTACAGACTAGGTAATCGAAACAACCTAAGAGACCCGTAGGGTGTAATGGTAGACGGCTCAGTGGAGTTGTCTTCAGACTAATAGTCCTGCGTAGGGACTTACGCGGACACACGCAATGAAAGAGAAACTCCCGCAATGACACTCATCTCATATGAGGGGACGCCCCTACGAGCAACATCGGAGATTCTCACATGTATCTCATCGTCCCTGGGCCCTGCTGGACCCTAACAAAGTATACTTGTAGAAAAAGTCACGTTTCTGCAAGCTCTCGAGATGTACTTTAACTACCTTAGTTTACACTTGACTTGCACGGGCAGAGGACGAAACATCACCACAGAGTACCGGTCTGTGAAAACCTATGTCTTCTCCACCGGATAGCAAGACCTCCCTTAGCTGATGATCACCAGGGACTCAAGACAAGAGCTAGATCACCATACCATTGAAAGTCCAGTAAAGCTACCCGGGAACGCTCGCTGCTTTCGCATGGAGAGAAAATCTGCAAGATTGGAAGGTAAGGCTTTCAAATGATGCATTGTGTTTGATGGCCAATAGCTCACTGAGTATCAATGACAATATGGTTGAGAGGAGAGTGACTAGCTGTCCAATCCTTGGTCACGCTATCGCCGCGTCGGATCCATTTTCTAGGAAGACAGTTCGTTGTGTAGGGCCCAATCACCCCCCAAGGATCGAATTCTTACAATGGACAACGCTTTCTCTCCCATTCTCTCTAGACATTAGGAATAGTCTGGGAGTTATTCCGCGTGTGCTTGCAGCAGACTGTGACAGGCGGTCCAGTAGTGCCATCCCGCTATGCTGCGTCGCTTAGACGAGAAGAAACGCGACTTCAGCAAGTTCAGGAGCGTGAAGCCTTCGCCTCAATTTCGAATCCAGCTCCTCGATATCGTCAGCGCTATCTCCCCAGCCATGCGCTTCGTCGCCCCAAGTCATGATGCCATCAACATAGCAGCTTCCGACCATTGTGTACCGGTGCACGCCCTTGATGCTTTCCATCTGATGAACCCTCGAAGATTCGGTACAGATCGTTCCGAAGTGTTTTCGTAATATATATGGCACTACAAAAGTCTTCCAGGAGATTTTCGTAACGGCTCACTCGCATGAGCGCACCTGCGTATTGCCCGAAGGCCCAGTAGGAGAGTTCTCGTCGTCTGTCAAGGCCTAGTGTACGGAGGGAGCCGTCATCGTCACTGAGGACCTGCATAGACATGGAGAGGCAGGTTGCAACGGCCTCGAGGAACGGTTCTCGATGGGTTTGCCGCCCTTGTTTCCTTCCATAAAAGGCCTGAACCTGGGCAATGGCCTGACCAACGTTTGAGAGATCACTGCGAATGACCTGGCTGGTAATGTCAACGACGCCGCAAGATACACCTTTCAGAATCAAGGCAGACTGCTGTCTGTGCTCTTCAAACGGCGGGCTCGAGGTATATTTGATCATAGTGGGTAGGAAATGAACAGGCTTCCATTCGGCTATGTTGTCATTGAGCAGGCCTTCGAGGTGTTGTCGGGGAAATAAGTTCTCAATTCGATCCTCTGAGTTCAACGGGTGGTGGCAAAACCGTGCACGACTTGCGTTGAATCCCAAGGACGCTTCCTCTTGGAGACGATATCGTCTCTGATTGAAACCAGAAGCCATGTGCTCGGAAGACCAATCTGGCACCCAAGAAGGAATATCGATGCGGCTCTTGGAGAGCAAGTCTGGTGTCGTCATCCAGAGCAGACCGGTGTGGCGGATCATCTCAAATGTTGCGTGAGAGAAGAGCTCACTGACATCATCCTCATAATTAGCCTGGATGCTCAGCCGGTTGTGTAGAAATGGCCGTTTCGATTTCATGTCCTCAGCAAGCTTGAGGAGAGCGAAGATCTTGTCTCGCGGCTCCGAGGATTTGCGATGGCGGAATCTTCTGAGAAGCCACAGCAGAGAGCTGCTTGTAGTTGCTCCGACGATTGTCTCCTCTTCCTCCTCTCTCAAGCGGCGAGCAGGACTGATCGCATCTACTCTGCCGGCCAGGAAGCGAATAACTCTGGTAAGCTCTGGATGGTTGATCTTGGGTGACTGCAAATGCATTCGGGCTGACTCGACGTAGTGAAATGGAAGCAGAGCACGGCCGTAAGCCATAGTCAGCCGTCGAGCGACGCAGGCCTCTTGCACAATCCACATCCGACTCCACCAGTCGCTTGTCGCAAAAAGGCGCATCCTTTCGATAATCACTTGTAGCTGCGACTCACTGAGGTTTCGTTCTATGTCGTAACTGTTGAAGTATAATAATGCAAAGAGGCTATAAAGACACAAGATCTCTTCATGTTCCGTGAGCGATCCAGGCTTAGAGTTCTTCAGCGTATCCCAGTGCTTCTCGCAGGTATGATCCGAATTCAAGATGTCCAAATTCCTGAGATCCGTCAAGGGTTTCTCTCCCAGTTTCTCAAAACGACGTGAGTAGTCCTTGCGGCTTCGATCTAGGCCATCTCCGACGTAGGCTGTGACTTCAGAGGCCGAGCCGAAGATATCGTGCATCAAGCCAACTTGGTGGCCTTTTTCTGCAGCATCATCTTGGTCGATGCATATGGAGTCAACCCAGAGAGTGGTTTGCTCTGTCTGTCTTCGAACAGCACGCAAGGCCCTGTCCAGGTTGAATGTGATCTTGTGGATCTTGCCGTTGACCGTGATTTGGTTTGACCGCTTCGAACTTCCCCATGCATAGGACAAGGCTTGGTACTTATGACTTCGATCGGCCACATATAGTCTAGCTTCAAGGTCGTCGAGCCATTCTCCCGGAAAGAGCTGAATTAGTCGAATCTCGTTGAGGGCAAGTTTCTCGTCGTACGTAAAGGTCGACATCATCCGAGCCACGCAAGTAATGAACAAGCCTCTCTAATGGCTAAAGTCATGTTCGAGGACTAGAATTCTTGAGCAATGGCCGAAGAAGGCGGTCAAATAGGCAGACATGGGAGAGAGAGCCAGGTCAGCCTGCATCCCGCGAGCCCGCTGATTGGCGTGAGAACAATCTTTCGAACTACCGTGATCAGCTCAAAGACCCATGCGGTGACGTTGGCAATCGAGATTAAGCACCGAAGTAGAAACCTGTCAGAATTAGCATTTCCAGCACGAGCATGTAGCAGAAGCCAGGATGGTATCCATCGCTAGACTTAGTGGTCGAAGATCGACTGATCACACATTGAGAATTTGAGAGGAATTGGTGATGTTGAATCTTCGCCTGTGTTTTGGCGGGGAAGTGGCAGGGGTCGTGAGTACCCCTCCTCAATTACATAATCCAGCTAAGGTAAGGCAGCCACACCTTGGTCCGTGCCCGGGGAACATCACGAAAGGCTGCAATAATTTTTTGGAGCTCCAGAAGCTTCTTGGGCCACGAACAGCACAAGTACAGCCTCTCCCCGCGACGACATACGAATCCCGAATATACCGTCGAGTGTAACCCCTACCGCTGTACTCGTCGCATCGAAATAATCGCCCAAAATGTCGTTCGGAGGCCAGACCCCGACCATTATTGTCCTGAAAGAGGGTTCGCTACCCCACCGCCTTCCCCTTGCCGACCTGGAAACTGTGACTGACGAGCATGTTGCGCAGGAACCGATACCTCTCAGGGCAAGGGTCAGATTATCTCCAACATCAACGCCTGCTTGGCTGTCCAGGCCACGATCAAGTCTACTCTCGGTCCCTATGGAGGTGACCTCTTGATGGTCGATGCCAACGGCAGACAGACTATCACCAACGATGGCGCTACTGTTATGAAGGTTGGAAGGACCGCAAGGACTATTTTTTTGGGAGACTCAGGCATACTGACGCGCATATAGCTCCTCGACATCATCCACCCCGCAGCCCGAATCCTCGTCGATATCGCGAGATCACAAGATGCTGAGGTCGGTGACGGCACAACGTCCGTCGTCGTCTTGGCCGGAGAAATCCTGAAGGAGATCAAGGAGCACGTCGAGCAGGGCGTCAGCTCCCAGGTTATTATCAAGGGTCTGCGGAGAGCGTCTATGATGGCCGTCAACAAGATCAAGGAGATTGCGATCGACACGAACGAGAGCAACAGAAGGGAAACGCTCGGCAAGCTGGCGGCTACCGCCATGACGAGCAAGCTGATCAAGCGCAACACCGAGTTCTTCACAAAGAGTACGTTGGATGCACCCCTCCAGTGACACAGGTTCTAATCGGGCGCAGTGGTCGTGGACGCCGTCCTTTCCTTGGACCAGGACGACCTGAACGAGAAGTTGATCGGCGTGAAGAAGATTCCCGGCGGTTCCCTCACCGAGTCACTATTCGTCAACGGTGTCGCATTCAAGAAGACATTCTCCTACGCCGGTTTCGAGCAACAGCCCAAGTCTTTCGAAAAGCCCAAGATTGTGTGCTTGAACGTCGAGTTGGAGCTCAAGGCCGAGAAGGACAACGCAGAGGTCCGCGTCGAGCAGGTGTCCGACTACCAGGCCGTTGTCGACGCTGAGTGGCAGATTATCTACAAGAAGTTGGAGGCTATCTACAAGACGGGCGCAAAGGTTGTGCTCAGCAAGCTGCCCATTGGCGACTTGGCTACCCAGTACTTCGCAGACCGCGACATCTTCTGCGCCGGTCGTGTCACATCCGAGGACATGGAGCGCGTGGTCCAGGCCACTGGTGCCACCGTCCAGTCCACATGCTCAGATATCCTCGCGGAGCACCTGGGTACCTGCGGAAGCTTCGACGAACGCCAGATCGGAGGCGAGCGTTTCAACTTCTTCGAGGGCTGCCCCGAGGCCAAGACCTGCACACTCGTCCTCCGTGGCGGTGCTGAGCAGTTCATCGCCGAGGTCGAGCGCTCGCTGCACGACGCCATCATGATCGTCAAGCGCGCCATCAAGAACCACACTATCGTCGGTGGTGGTGGTGCGGCCGAGATGGAGGTGTCCGCATACCTCCACCGCTTCGCCGACAAGAACATCCCCCACAAGCAACAAGCCATCATCAAGAGCTTCGCCAAGGCTCTCGAGATCATCCCCCGTCAGCTCTGCGACAATGCCGGTTTTGACGCGACTGACATCCTCAACAAGCTGCGCGTGGAGCACCGCAAGGGCAGTACCTGGGCCGGTGTTGACTTCATCAACGAGGGCATCGCCGACATGATGGAGCGCTTCGTGTGGGAGCCGGCGCTGGTCAAGATCAACGCCATCCAGGCCGCCACCGAGGCCAGTTGTCTCATCCTCGGCGTCGACGAGACCATCCGCAACGAGGAGAGCGCGCAGCCCCAGGCCCCTGGCCAGCAGCTGCCCCCGGGCGCCGCACAGCGCGCTCTGAGAGGAAGAGGACGGGGCATGCCTCGTCGGTAAAGAAGGGGGGGGTTATGACCGGGTTAAATGAATGAGAATCAAAAAAGGAAATCAAAATTCAGGAATCGATGAAATGGCGTCTGTATGATACCTAGAACTGGCCCCCAGGGGCTTTGGCTTAAAGAAGTCCGAATAGACTGGGTCATTTGTCGTCTGTCATGAACACCTGCTCTCAGGTCAGGCCCATCCGTCATGTTGAAGCCTGGGCGGTAGTTAAAAATGCAGTGAAATGAAATAACAAACCACTCATCCAACTTCAAGTCCTTCCATTGGTTCAACTTGAACGAGGTAAGGCAGCCAGCTAAAGCCTGGGATGGTGTTGGACATGCAGCAAAGGTGGTCTTGATTGGCCTTCCCACGTACGTGGCACCGCACAATTGGACGCGGTCTTCAATTATGGGCTACCCAAGCCCTTGGGGTGTGTCAAAAATGCAGTGAAGAGCTGGCGACCCATGTGGATCCCCGGGTCGACGATGGAGTCAAACTTACTCGGTCTTCAACCGTAGGTATCAAGCAGCCTTCCCCCCTTGTGCGCCCCTCATGATTCGCAAAGTCGGATGGGTCCCTTTCCAGGTCCTAGACGGACAGACCAACGTCTGTGCATGTACGAGACCCCTTCTCTTGCTATGCCTACTTCCACATTACACGTAAGACGTTCAAAGAATTATTCATCAAGCTTCCTATCGTCTCAGTAAACCTCCTTCATAGTTAAGACTGATGTAGTCTGTGAAGAAAGTGTCTGGCGGTAGAACAGAGCTCAAATACCGAGATTGGTGCGTCCCTATAAAAGTCGTTGCATCTACAGGCAGACGTGGCTACTTTAGGGAATATGTCGAAGTCAATGAGAAGCTGGGACTGGCGATCTTTGAAAGCCTCGAAACTCAGCGTTCTTTTCGATGGCCATCTAGCGTTCGATTCAGTCCGTCCCAAGAAAGTGCCTCCGAAGCTGTCATCTCTTGCAAACGAAGCTTGAACTTCTGACCGGATTGATGTAAAGCTTCAGGCTTTCGAAGAAATCCGTTTAGTCAAAATCCTAAGACCATATGAGTCGAATCCCACCACACGGCCATCGAGAGCTGCATAGGTGTTATTCCGTCCCCGTAGTGAGATAACATGACACTCATGGCCGGCCATCTGCCTTGCTTACCTCCCCAAACTTGCAATTGCCTTGGTGGCAGTATGAAACGCAGTGAAGCCAGTCCTGATTCTCGTCTTTGCCCGACTGACACCAACAAATACTCATCCATTCACGTCCACGCCTCTTGAGTGTGTTAAAAACGCAGTGAAGCTCGCACTTCTAAGTGGGTTCACCTCAATTCCCTGCTCTCATTTGTTGGGAGAGAGTGTGTCAGAAATTTCCATCCAATGAGAAAAAAATAAGTTCTAGTGACGTCAACATCTCTAAGCTTCACATGATAAAGTGATTTTCACCAGATGACATCTCCTACAAAGTCATCTGCAAAGCTCTTGTCTCCCCAAAACCGCTACTGGGATAATAACTTGCCTCATTGGCCGTCACCCGGGGCCACAGCTGGAATGTACACCCCCAACAGATTCAGCTATACAAGGCTGCAAGCACAATCGTAAGAACTTTGAAGCAGCCAGTCTCAGCATCGAATACCAGCCTACCTACTTCTTCGTCCTTGGAGCTAGGACGGCACGACGGCACGACGGCAAGCCGACTTGTTCTCGACGCTGCCACCTTTGCTGAAGATGTTTTGCATTCCAAAAGGTGGAACCCCGAGGTCACACGCATCGGCTCCCATGACGAGCTTTTCTTCCACTCAGGAATGTGATGCAAAAGTCGGAGAGAAATGAAAAAGAAAAGTCTCATAGCTGCTGTTGGCGAGTCACAAAATATCAGCAGCCACATACGTTGAACACATTTGATTCACAATCACAGTCACAGTTGGTCAAGTACTTTGAAATCCATCCCAAATTCAATTCATCGTATCTCTTCTATCGCGTAATCCCAGAACCCAACCGTGGCGAAAGACACACGCGCGGTCGCCCAGCGCCAGAAATCGGGTTCATGTTCCATTCCAAATCCCATTGCCGTATACCAGAAAAGATCAAAGCCAGAAACCGCCGCTGATCGCCAAAAATGCCCAAATCATTACCGAAAGAATACCCATAGACCGTTTTGATACCCCCATTGTGATAGTACATCCGTCCAGCGAACGAAGAGCGTCGCGATAACCCATCGTCATTACATGGTCCCGTGGCGGGTGCTGAGAAAGACCAAGATCAAGCACAAGCGTAAAGCGTCATAACGTACACGTTGCTGAAGAGAAGAAGTCGTGACACCGTCCTACACCTTTCCGAAAGGGAACCGTCTCGCCAGAGAGAATATTACCCATCATGAGCTGCCGAAAAAAACGTCATCGTTGTTGGTGAACATGTTGACTGGGTCTTCGAATTCTTCGTCAAACTTGCTCATCATGAGCATGTTGGACTCACGGTCGAATTGAACTAGGCCATCTTCGGTTGTGAAAGCCTTCATGTTCATGAGCAATT